GAATACATAAATATCGAAAACATATTTCTGCAGTGTCAAGTGGAAACATAACCCAACCCTTTTACATGTACTTGCTTCACCCGGTAGTTTAGAATAAAATCAATAAACAATAGTTTGTGGAAGAAGTTGCTGCCGGTTGGAGAAACCAGAGAAGCCTACCCACTGGGCACAGACGTCTATTCCACGTTGTTTTAACGTAATTTCATTGAAATGACATGGAGACAATGTTGATTGAACCAGTGTGTGCCCAGTGGGAGAGATTGGTGGAGAGATGCCAGTCACTCACACCCTCTGAATAAGAGAAGTGTTATGGATGCAGTAGCATTCAGCAGGTAAGTACAGCAGCCTATACAGTGGACTCCAATAGTCATCAAGTCGTTGTAGCCTTGAACTAGTAGCCTACATCATCTTCAAAGAATGGACAATTTCCACTCAACCTGTCGCTACAATACACTTGCATAGACTACCATAAAAAAATTAGACCTACTACTTTTGGAATCAACAGCCTTTCTTGTCATAGGATCTAAAAGTGTCTTTTGAACTTTTAATTGCTCAATTGTGGTTTTGATCAATGCCAGAGGCAAGTGACAGAATCATTGTGATTACAGTGACAACACTGAAAAAAACTTTGCTTCAAATGACCGGTATTAGGCTATACAAACACCTCAAGATTTGGTTTAGTATTAATCATTGTTTGGGGTGTGAAAGCATATGCCTACATTTTTCAAATAATGACCTAAATGAGTGAAAAGAAGAACATGCATCTTTTATACAACAAGCAGTGGCGACCCGTCATTCAGGGCCTGTTTTGAGCCCCACATTTGGGGGGGTGGCTTGTCTGTTATGCATGTTATTTTGGCATTAATACGTGTCACATATCAGTTTGGAAACAATGTTAAAAAACCCAACTCGGAACAACTGACGTCATCCCACTCGGAATTGTACATCCGGAACTCGGGCCTCTTTCTAGAGCCACGACCTGAGGATCACTGACGTCATCACGATTCAACCTTTTTCAGAGTTCCCAGTTGCCTTGAAAGCACCATAAATCCAGAGAATGCCAGACTTTGATGACTAAGTTTTATGTCAAAATTGTCCACGAAGGACTGCCGCACCACCTTCCTGTTCAAGTGAGCACAGCACAACAAGGTGAGTCCAAAAATGTATTGTATGCTGCTGCATAAATGATGTAATATGCCAGGGAGATATGTATACTGTAGCTAAGAAAGTAATGCTAAATGTATGTTGTGTAGTAAGCTGTTAGTAGCCCATGTGCCTCACCCTAATAATGATGTCTATTTTCCCCTCTTAAATTCGCCTACTGTTCTGACTTGGTGGTGCACATGTAGCCTATAACCTGTTTTAGAGAAATGTAATCATCGAATATTGTAAGAGCTTTCATTGTCTGCTTATATGCCCCCTTTATTTATCCTACGGTTCTGACTTGGTGTACAGGGAGAACACTGTAAGAACGGCCCATGTTCTGAATTCTGTCGCTGTACATTTCAAAAGTGCTGAACAACTAGTTATATTGACTATGTCCGTCCTAGCTCGCTCATTAATGTCTAAATCGAAATTACGGATTTTTAAAGGCAGTAAATGAGGCTGAATGAACTGTTTCGCTACCAGAGAAGGCTCCGCTGATTGCCAGGTGTAGCAGTGGTAAGGTGTTGGGACTGCTGTTGGGACTCTGCTGTTGGGACAGCTTTATGTAGGCCCTAACAGTTTGTGGGCACCGTTTGTCACCGTTATAGTGCAATTAATGTATTGTTTAGTGTTGTGTTGTGGCTTTGCTGGCATACATCCCACATATGTTTTTATTTTTTTGCCCCACCAAGATTTACATGCTAAAATCGCCACTGACAACAAGGCACTAAAGTAATACTGCAAATAAACATATGTTTGGGGCAAATCAAAAACAACACATCACCGAGTAACTGCCTCCTTATTTTCAAGCATGGTGGTGGCTGCATCACCATATGGGCATGCTTGACATCGGCAAATACTGGGGAGTTTTTCAGGATAAAAAGAAACGGGATAGGGCTAAGCACAGGCAAAACCTGCTTCAGTCTGCTTTACCACAGACAGGAATTCACCATTCAGCAGGACAATAACCTACAACACAAGGCCAAATCTACACTGGAGTTGCTTACCAAGAAGACAGTGAATGTTCCTAAATGGCCAAGTTACCGTTTTTACTTAAATCTGCTTGATAAACTATGGCAAGACTTGAAAACTGCTGACTAGCCATGATTCCCAACATCTAGACAGAGCTTGAAGAATTTTGCAAAGAAAAGGCAAATATTGCACAATTCAGGTGTGCAAAGCTCTTATGCCTTGTTCACATTGGCAGTTTGAAGTGACTCAAAAAAAATAATAATTGTATATCCGATTCAAATATGTTATTTTTTCTGCAGTCTGAACAGCCAAAAAGCACATGGAATCAGATCTTTCAAGCCACATTTCAAACCACCTTCTGAGGTAGTTTGAAGTCAAATACAAATCTGATTCGTGGCCGTGCGACTTGTGTCTGAACGGTCAAATCTAATTTATTCGCCCTAAAGTGTTTTTTAGACTTATTTGGCATATCTTGTTGCTTGCTAGCTACTCTGTGGACAGTTTGACAAGAACATGTGGTAGCTAACTGGTGCACATTTTGGTTTTTGCCCTAGCAGGACCGAGTTTGGAAAACTCTGAGGTAGTTGACTGCTGTGGCTAGCCAAAAATTACTAATTTTGAAAGTTGGATCACCTTATCCTTTGAGGCTTTAAAAGTGTTCTTACACTATAATTTTAAACATTCAAAGCAACTGGGAAACGTCCATGGCAGGCATTGTTGTCACCTTAGCTTGCTACATAACTTCTAAGTGATCGGAACCACGAGCACCAACACCAATCCGCCTACACCACTGTGCACACACCTGTCATTACTATGACAACTAGCATAGCCATGTCAGCAAATGACTGCTGTCTGAACACACACAAATCTGATTTTGTCACTTGTAACTTGCTGTTTGGACAGTCAGAATTCCAAAACTGATTTGAAAAACAAAACTGATTTGAGCATTAAGGCCTGCAGTGTGAACAAGGCTTTAGAGACTTACCCAAGAAGACTCACAGCTGTAATTGCTTGGATTTAACAAGTGATGTCAATAAGGGATCATATCTTTCACCTGGATTCACCTGGTCAGTCTATGTCATGGAAAGAGCAGGTGTTCCTAATGTTTTATACACTCAGTGTATATTTAAGCAATAAGGCCCGAGGAGGTGTGGTATATGCCCAATGGGCTGTCCTTAGGCACAACGCAATATGTAGCATCAAAACCACAAACAAAAAAACACAACCAACTTATCATCTCCCCACAAAACCATAGACAGTACACAATATAATGATCTCACAAGTTTGTCCTAGCTTTTATTGATCTGTGTAAACCTAACTCCTTGTAAAATCTTTACATGCTAATTTATTCGCAAACATACATATATATTTATATTTAGGTTCTCTCAAGTGCATGCAGTACTTATTTACAATTACATAAATAAAACCAACAAATAATTTAATTAAATAGAGTAGGCAGAACAAAATGGAGAACAGTATCCTGTAGTCCCCTGTAGCTCAGTTGGTAGAGCATGGCGCTTGCAACGCCAGGGTTGTGGGTTTGTTTCCGACGGGGGGCCAGTATGAAAATGTATGCACTCACTAACTGTAAGTCGCTCTGGATAAGAGTGTCTGCTAAATGACTAAAATGTAAATGTAAATGTATCCTCTTTAGGTTTAGCGATACTTACTATCCAGAAAATAAAATAGAAACGAATGAAGATTAAAGACCACTAAACTGGTCCCAAAACAGAACAGGTAGGCTACAATAGTACTGTAGTAGAACCAGTGAAAACCAAGTGCATACACAACAAAATAATGTTGAAATTGTGGCCACTGGTGGACAGCAAGACAACACAGTTCAGACTGAGGCTCTCATGACTGTGGGAACCCCTGGTTTTACCCATCAAAGGAGGAGACAGAGCACTTGGTGAAAATGCATCACTCTATGGAAGAGATTAATCTCCATTAATCTTCTACCTTCAGGAACTGGTCGGTGAGATCCATTTGTTAATGTGCTTGACTGTTTACGCACAATAATCAGCCTTCTAAGCGTCATCTGAGCTCTGTGTACAGGGTCCTAGCTTTTGATCTCATCCCTGTCACGTTACCAAGCTGAGGATGCTCAGAAGAGAGGCTAAAGTAGCCTGGTACATCAATTCATTTATAATCCATTGTTAGCCTAATGATAACAATAATAGTCCTGATATTCATGCAGCATAAATTAATGTATGTTGCTGTGGACTTCAGTGTTTCAAAAAAAAATTTGGACCAATGTTAAGGGGTAGAGACGAAAGTCATCAAATTACAATATAATGAGTTTCTTAAAAAGTCAATGTATATATCATGAACCACAAGATCTCTCATGCATAGGTTTTTTTGAGAAACTTGCAAACAGCTGTATAAATTGAGGTCATTCCATTGTATAAGATGTGCTTTCCTTGAATTGCAGTAATTGGTCAACAGCCACCCACCAACGCTTGAGTGATTGGTGCAGCAAAAAAGGATGGCGCAGGAATGGAGGGGGCCAGAGTGGGTAAAGGGAGGTGCATTGTGGGGAGGAGCAGGTTGGGGTGTGTGACTGCTCCAGGCACAGAAAACACAAGGGTCACGAGCACAGTGCATGCAAGTTAAGCAGCGCATTTACTTATGACATAGCTTTACCCATGTTGTCTTATTTAATGTGACTAAGGTGGAGCAGGCTTTAAGTGTCAGTGAAAAATCTGATAATGTGCATTCAATGTAAAACATGTCAGTCAGTAAAAAACCTCAGTAAACATTCATTGTAAACCACACCTGTCATACTATACTTCTCATTACTAGCCAGGGAAATAATGTTTTCCTGTCTCCTCTCTTCCTTCACCGTAAACAAAGAACTGAACCAGATGGTCAACTTTTCAGTGTCAACATTCTCATAAAAAATGTAACATTTTCCCACTACTTCTATAAACATGACTCAAATAAGGACAAAGTGAACACTTGGCAGAAAGTGAGCAAATTTTAACTGATACTGAAATAAAAAAATATGATTTACTTTAATTGCCTATTTAATATGTATGTAATATATAAAAAAAATATATAAATATAGTCTCCAAACTAAATGTCAGTCAAGTGATTTGTGAATCATGCCCTTTCCCATAGTCAAGATCATTTTGATCTTTAACTTCAGAATCCTGCAACATGTAAACCTTCTTCATGAGAATGTCATAATATTCATTACATATCATTAAATAAACATGTCACTTTAGGAACATTTGAAATAGTTCAGAGGGCAGCTGTGGGTCTTCAGTGTGTTTTCGTGTGGTTTTGCATGCTCATACAAGTCGTAATAATACTGCACGATGTCATTTTACAACCTGCCAGTCTAATGAACTTCATAGTTCAATGGCTGCTGCAGCTGTAATCCCACATAGAATTCCATAACATATTGCTTCATCATCTTTTGTGCTAGTGCATTTCAAAATTGATTTTCTTTAGGATGTGTCAAGTTCAATATATAACATCATCAACTGTCATGATCATCTCAATGCAACTGTATAATGCAATGTCAGGTTGTTGTTTTTAGTATCTTCAAAGGTATTTATTTTTTGCCTTAAATTGTTGAATCCCTAAGTTGTTTTTGAAGGATGATTTTAAAGTATACCATGTTTTGCCTCTGGAGGAGTCCCCTTTCCAGATAAGTCTCAGTAAAGGGGGAGAGGCATGAGAAGGGAATATCACATCTGGGACAACAGGGGAGGATGGGAAAGGTGCATGTGGTGGGTTGGGTTGAGGGCAGGAAAGAATGCAGACAGCCAGACAGGAAGACTACTGGTAAGTCCATTACATTTAAAAAACTCAAATTAAATGTTCTTGGCGAGGTGTGGAAGGAGGTTAGACATGGTAATGTGAGAAAGGAGAGGGGGCTGAGTGTAGAGGGAGAGGACTTTGCTCATTCTAATGGGGGTTAGTTGCTGTTGACAGGATTCTCATTCAACAGGGTGTGCCAGCGCTCTATCTTCTTGTCCTTGTTCTTCAGGCACTCATACCAGTGCTTCAGCCGCTCCCCTTTGGCTGTGATGCCCAGCTGGCACCCACCTACAGTAGACCAACAGGGGGGAGGGTGAGAGGGCTAGTACAACGGATGGAAAACTTCAACAAGGTATAGTAGATCTCAAACAGATCTCCTATGGATCTTACCGATGTAATCGTTGGATTTCCCAATGTCGTAGTCCCACACTGAGATGTCCAGGGTCTTCTTAGCCAGGTCACTGTGCTTGATGTCATAGCTAAATTCCTATAACACAACAACTGAGAAATCATCCCCCTCACAATATCCAATAAATGTAATTTACATCAATACACAAATCAATACATTGATGTTTTGACAGACATTTAAACAATAAAAGCACAAACAAAGTACTGCTGTCAGATGGTTACTTCGGTCTTGTATTATTATTGCAAGGGACCAACAGGAGACTGACCTCGTTGTACTCTGGGTTTAGGGTCTTCTTCTTGATATTTGTTTTGTTCTTGGCCTTCTTCCCCATATCAGGTTTCAGGCATCTAAACACATCATATAATAGATCATCTTAGTTTGATGTTGTCATCCTGCATTTGGGGATAGGAAAGTAAATAGCTAAACTGATTTATTCTGCTAAGCAAATGAATAACTTTGACATAATTCCATTTGTATTGATCTTGAGTGAAAAAATAATACTTCATCATCTAAACACTGGAAAAGTGTAATAGTTTTGTTTGTAATCACGCCTGATAGGAAACACAGTGAAACAGACTGACATTTCGACAAATGGGTCAGAGTATCCATTGGCATCCATGGCGGCCAGGTGAACACAGCGCACTACACCGACAAGGAGACGATTCTGCTGGGTGCTGTACATGAGGGAGATCAGGATACGACCACGCTCCTCCACATCTCCAACCTCCTTCCCACCCTGGAAGAGATAGAGATGGGGGAGAGTGAAGGGAAGAGTGACATTTTTAAAATCATATCATGAAGACATGATTTGCATGAGGGCACGTAGCGGTAATCCACATGCCCACACATGCAGGTCATATACCAATACCTCATCCTCGTAGAGCGAAATGCCTCGAGCCCCTCCAGCTGTTGCGGTCTTCTTCGTCTGTGGAAAGATATTGATAAGGGTGGTCCAATCAAACATACAAACAAATGGGACTTTTACTGTATATTTATCTAATGTGTGTAGCATGATAATGTACTCACAGGGACAACTCTCTCTAGACACACGTTGAAGTTTTTCTTCTGGTTGACCTTCAGTTTCTTTAGCGCAACGCGAGTTTCTCCGATAAACTCATTATGCCCAAACTTGTCCTCATCACAGACAGAGATCCTACATCAACCAAGATAGTACATCAATCAAATTGGATCATAACGTCTATGGAGGAAATAATGTAAATTAAAACAATTAAGCCCTTAGATAAAACCACGGCAACAAATGGAGACAACAAGACAGGTTATCTTGATGTTTAGTGAACAGGCCTATGTTGTGTTTCTCTGCTTCAATTATCCACCTGAGAGTCTTGCGCTGCATGTCCTCGTCTGTGAGTCCGTGGTAGACCAGGGTCTCGTTCCAGGCAGGGTTACGGGTGTTTCTCAGTGTCTTAGTGCGTAGCTTGTTGGACTGCAGCACATGAGAGTAGATACAATAAATCAAGATAAGGAACTCAATCAACTTGTCTTCAGCACTTCTATATCTGAGGCTGGAGAGAGGCAAGGGATCTTTATGTGTAGTACAATGGATACTCCTTATGGTGGCAGGCTTGAGCTAATGGGTGTGTATCCTAGCATAACAGATGTTTCTGAATTATAACACATACCATAACAAATACACAAACATATATTATCTCCCAGGTTGAAAATAAGGAAAGTGAATTTCATCACCTTACTGGCCCCTGGCAGTAGATGCAGCTTGACATAGGGATCAGCCAGTCCGTTGGAGTCCATGGGCTTCAGTCCCTGGGGGAAAGACAAGACTCTTTATGTCACCAGACAGGACAGCAGGGACGAGGAGTCCCTATTCAAGATGTAAACTACTGCAGCAGCAGCTTTTGAACACAGGCCACTTCAGTGTAATTGGCTCAGAGTGAGTGAATGAGTGCAGTAGGTGGTACCTTGGCTTTGAGGATGCTGCAGTGGAGACTGTTGTTCTCCTGCTCATAAAGCAAGCTGAACTCCAAGCCGCCCAGAGTGGCTGAAACATACCCAGGACAGTCATTAGATCAGACAACAGACAGTGGAACACAGACACTAGCAGTACATCTTAGATAGAGGGCACTGGGTTGTAAAGAGAGACTAGGACAGAGAGTCTAGACTAGGACAGATTCTCAGAGTATCAGAAAACATTGAGAATGTCTACAGCAGGGCTCTCCAACCCTGTTCCTGGACAGCTACCGTCCTGTAGGTTTTCACTCCAACCCTAATCTAGGGCACTTGATTGTAATAATTAGCTGGTTGATCAACTGAATTAGGTTAGTTACAACTGGCGTGGGAGCGAAAAAGCTACAGGCGGGTAGCTCTCCAGGAACAGGGTTGGAGAGGCCTGTTCTACAGTAATAGAGACATGAGGGCAGACCAAAGAGCAGAAAATCAAGTGATGAACTGATAAAGGAGAAAGAAAGAAAGAAATAATACAACAGTAAATCTCCAGACTAAATGGACTGTAAACAGATTAAATATGTTATGCATCCGTCCAAATATTAGAAACAGGAAATTCCATTAAAAAGCAGCAGAATGTTACTGTAATATCAACTAAAGAAAAAATATGACTCACAAAGGAATACATTTAGAAAAATAAAGGCAAAAATACGAGAATATTCCACTTCAAAGAGAGTATGAAAACAGAGAAGTTAAATGGGATCCTATGCATGGATGTTTAGGGAGGGCAAAACTGGGATGATACTAATAATCAATAGGTTTAAATCTATCAACCCCTCATCTAAAACAGTAAACCCCCAACAGCTCCAAACCACCACATTGCTGAGTAATGGTTGTGAGGCTAGCTTTTAAAGCCTGCAGCTCTAGTGGACCATTGTACTGAAATCCCTCTGACTCAAATCAGCCTCTTTAGCTATTAGACATCACTGAGCTAATACACAAAATTTCAAATGGCAAGAAAACATTAAGCACAGAGACAGACACACCCTAAGGAAAGTTTAATATTAGATTAGGGCAAAAATGCACAAATGTAATTTGTGTGATATAATGCTATCTACAGTAACTAGATGCAAACAAATAATGTACTGCCAACCCTTTATACCATTAAACCTACAGAACTGGGACATCTCTGAGTAGATTTAAAAACACTGATCTAGTTAGCAGCAGTTGAGCTATTGAAACCAGTCTGCACCACAGGACCTGACTGTCCTAGCACTGCCAACTCCATAGAGAACCAGAACCAATGCTATTTCTGCAATTTCTACTATAACATTAGGGAACTATTCAAACACAAGGGAAATCTAGATCCCATCAGCGCTCTCGTATCCCAAATAATGTGTTCTGTGCTAAATTCCCGGACCTCCATGAAGTAAATTAACGCCTCATCCCCCAGGGAGCGAGGAAAGGTCTTTCACCGCTAGAGGCATGGAATATGACGTACGACTGTCATGACACGATTTCCATCACTCAAGGGAGACATACAAAAAAATGGTTCCATTACAGAGTTTATGTTTTACATCCTTTTCTACTTTACTTCCAAGATATTGATTCACATGCTTGGATAACATGCGGTGGGTAACGTATATCATCTCCAATACAGCTCCATGAATTCTACTAGAAGGATACACGCTGGCCGCTAGTATTATTAGATGAGTCATATGCTTAGAGCGCTACAAAGGCCACCGACTCAAAGGAGTAGGAGATCAAGCACAGACTGGATAAAAGTGTCTGCTGAATGACTATGTAAACAAATAGAAATACAAAGAGCAGACCCACTGGGCACACACTGGTTGAATCAACGTTGTTTCCACGTCATTTCAATGAAATTACGTTGGACCAACGTGGAATAGACATTAAATTGACGTCTGGGCGGCAGGTAGCTTAGTGGTTAAGAGCGTTGTGCCAGTAACCGAATGGTCGCTGGTTCTAATCCCCGAGCCGACTAGGTGAAAAATCTGTTGATGTGCCCTTGAGCAAGGCACTTAACCCTAATTGCTCCTGTAAGTCGCTCTGGATAAGAGCGTCTGCTAAATGACGTAAATGTAAAATGTCTGTGCCCAGTGGGGAGTCTTTATACACTGAGTGTACAAAACATTAAGAACACCTTCCTAATATTGAGTATATTTAAGCGAGAAGGTGTGGTATATGCCCAATAGTTAGTACACTCAGTGTATGTGGACTTAAAACAGTCTGGAAGACATGGAGAGAGATCACTGAAGTCATGAGTAAGGTGGAAATCAAACAACAGACACAGCCCATATGGTAGAGGTCTAGCTGGAAGGACAGGCTGGTCACTTACTGGCCTCATCCGAGTCATAGCTGTTTGCATCCTCCTCCTCCTCGGGCGGGGGGGCTTGTTGTCGAGCAGGAGGGGGGTTGTAGGTGGCAGGCTGTCTCCTCTCCTCCCGCACTGCAGGAGGCACTCTCTCCTCCAATGGAGCAGTGCTAGTGGAGTAGTCACCTCCCTCCGTCTCCAGTGGAGCTACAACCACATACATGATAATGATTAGAGTGTTCTTATGTGCTGATTAATACCACATATTTCTATCCTCTATAAATGCTAAGTGTGTATCAGTGTCAGGGCTGGCCTGGTGATGTTGGTCCATCTTTACCCTACCCTGCTGGGCCAATGCTGCTGGAGGGGGCCTGGAGCTCTGGACTGGAACAGCCTTCTGCAGCACCACTGGGCTGTTCTGAGCACCAGGACCAGCCCCACCAGTGGCCATGTGAACATCTGACGGCTTAGAGGCAACAGGTGGTTTGCCAGCATGCCCCTGTGCCTCTGGTCCTGCAACACACATACACACATGAACAAACGTGCACACATATAGGCACACACACACACACACACACACACACATCAGCGTATCACTGAGACTGCGCTGCAGTGGAATCCATATTGCTCCCTAGTCTCTGTGAATCCTTTTGATGTTGCAGATTTTCCATTGCACAGGCATTGACCTACATACAGTACAACAAACTGTGGCAGGCAACCTTGATCACTTCCTGAAGCCTGGCTTTTTTCTCTACCCCCCCAATGCTAATAGCACAGATGCAAGTGGGAGCAGATTCTATGCCACCTCTCTTTTCAGAGCCTTGCCTTGCCCTAGCATGTACTTCCCACTGCCTAACTCAACCCACCCACCCCTGGATCTGGCTGTCTGAGAGGAGTCGGCAGTGCTCATTCTGGGAAACAGACCTGGGCTTTTATGGTAATGCTGACAAATGAATAATGAAAATAAATGTTAGGAGGGACTGGGAGCCAGAGGAGGGCCCAACATCTGGTGATGTTTGTCTGATGAAACTGGTGAGACGGTGCGTTGTGAGGGTGGCTATAGGGTTAATGACTGAATGACTCACCTGCTCCCTGCTGGCCAGCACTAGGAGCCTGACTCTTCTCTGGACCTGGGAGACAGGCAGCACAGGACACTGATTTTCTCTCACCCCTACACTTTTATTTTTGCCCTGTCAACTGTATAGTTTCGTATAAGACTTTAGTCATATCAAGGTTGGTTGGTTCATGAATTAAGACCTCACCTGTGTGTGCATGGCCCACTGGGATATGTTCCCAACAAAAAAGTAGTACTATATTCATAGTCGACAGCATCAGTAAAGAACAGTACATAAGATAAAACAAATAAAACATTGTAGATACTATTCGGGCTTTCCATCGCTTTTATCTTTTTAGTCGTTTTAGAATAGAATATTGAGTTCTGGGCAACATCACTCCCATTTAGCTATAATTAGTTAGGTGAATCGGTTTTATTCTGCCTAGCCAGCTACTGAAAACAGACCACTCTCACAAGCCAAGAAAGCAATCAACCTGAAACTACCCCCACTCCCACTGCTCCGTCTGGCCTGCTTACCTCTGGCCTGTACCTGTGGCCAGGGCTGACCAGCTGCAGCCCTGGGGTCAGATGATGCTGGCTCCTGGGGCTCTGGGGCTCGCTGGGCACTTGACTCTTTGGACTTCGAGATGGGCATGGGTGAGGGCAGGAACTGCTTAGGAAAGCCTTTAAAGAACCAGGCACCAGATCGCTTCCACACCTAAGAGATGATGAAGAATCTTTCATCTTTATTTGGATCCCCATCAAGCTGATGCCATGACAACAGATAGTCTTCCTGGGGTTCATAAAGAATGGCCTGCGTCATACAAGCTTTATTTATTTTATTAGGCAAGTCAGTTAAGAACAAATTCTTATTTACAATGACGGCCTACACCGGCCAAACCCGGATGACGCTGGGCCAATTGTGTGCCGCCCTATGGGACTCCCAATCACGGCCGGTTGTGATACAGCCTGGAATCTAACCAGGGGGTCTGTAGTGACGCCTCAAGCACTGAGATGCAGTGCCTTAGACCGCTGCGCCACTCGGGAGCACTGACACCTACACTCACTGTTAATCTCCCTGATCCCTCTTTCTCACAGAAATTAATCATCACTCTGTATCTTTCACCCATCATGTCTTTTAATTCACTATGACACATAATGTAACATGTGTCATGCTATGACATATCCCTGTCACCCTGTGTGTCTCACAGATATACTCACCTCTCGCTGTTCGCTGCAGATCTTGCAGAGCCACACAGAGCGCGGTCGGCTGCTGCTCTGCACTCCACACTTGGTGCACATGTGCTACAGGAGAGGAGACACAGGTTCACAAAGAGGTATTAATGTTTACAATGTCACAGATATATTACCATTTCATTTCTCAGGGTCAATTGTGGCCTAACATGGTCCGTAATGGCCCATCACAGCAAAAAGCAAAGTGCCTTTGCTATCTAGGAATGAGCCAAAAGCCAATCTTTCCAACCCCCATGCTGCACATACCTTTTTGCAGTCCTCACACACCACTGAGCTGACCCCTGGAACGCCCAGCTGCTCCCCACACAGCAGACAGCGGTTCACCCCGTCCCCACACACCGTCTTCTTCATGTCATCTAGACGGTTCACCAGGCGCCTGCAGCAGCCAGGACAACTCTCATTACAGCCAAATATCAGTTGAACATCCAAGCTCAGTTGGGTATATGTGGTAATAATAGTCCAACTGATTGAATAATGTGTTTGTAATTTTATCATCTTGTCCAGCATTTTTGCAGAGCTGAGATTTAACAACACTGAGGTTGGCAGCTCAATGGAGTTCCAATCCATTAGCTAAGAATGTCTCTTTAGTCCTCACCCAATTCTCTCCTGCTCCATGGCCTCCATCTTCTCAGCACGGGCGATCACACCGTTAATGATTTCCTTCTCCTCGTCAGTCAGGTCCGGAGCGCCGGGACCAGGCCTGGCCTGGTTGGTCCAGTTACCCCTGACAACCACACAGGAAAACTGTCTGGGGCAGAGGCACCCATGCTGCATGCATGCATTTTTAGCTAGTCAAGGTCATACACTCAGACATACAGTGAGAAATCAAATGTATATACAAAATAACACTCATACACAAGAGTGGACAAATTGACAGAGGTATATAAGAGACAAAGTAGACAGAACGTAATACAAAAAATGCCATAATGGCCTAATGCACACGTGCACATTGTGCAAACACCCTTCATTACCTGTGTCCAAAACATATGTGAACATACAATCATTCACGAGTGAATACACATTTACCTATACATACCCTCCATACACTCTAAATACAATCAAAAACTAGAATAGTAGATTGACACAGTGCAGAGGGGTTGGGGGGGGGGGATAAGGTAGAAGGAGAGATGGAGTAGGAGCTTTTCTACTTACTTTTCCTTATCACTGAGTCCCAGCCAGGGCAAAGATTAAAAGGAAGCAGACAGGAGAGGATAAAAGAGGTTAGTGCCTGGGAATGCATGGAAGGGTTAACATGCCCACACTCTAAAAAATGCTGGGTTGTTTGGATGACCCAACTGCTGGGTTGCAGGCATTGGGTCTCTTATTATTTTTTTATTTTTTTATTTAAGTGCAAGGTTGGGTTTTTGATGCTGGATTATTGAGATATGTCCCAGCGGGTCAGATCATAAGAATGGAGGCGCGGTTTAGTAAGGGTGTAGCTTTCAGATTTAAAGTTATTTTTAGCCACCCGTGAGAGTAAATGTCATTCCAGTTCATTTGTTCTGTTGTATTGTTATCACATGTTGAGGTTGGACACTGACAGCTTTAATGAGGCTTACACAAGTGTAGGGGTCCCTTAAGAGCCTATGCAAATCCCAATGTTGGGATAGTTACCTCTTTGGTACATTATGTAAATAATCTTGTTATATTAGAATATGTCATGTTAAAAAATTCGACAATTTTGAATTTGCAGTGTACAAACTTAACATGATAAACAGGAATGACATTTACTCTCATGGGTGGCCAAAAATAACTATATGAAAGCCATGCCCCTAATAAGCCACGCCTCCTGAAAATTACATTACAAAAGAACCAGCTGCTGGGTCAACCCAGCATGAAAGTAAATAAAAACCAAACTGATGGTTAAATTAACCCATGTTTCGGTAATCCCAACAACTCAACATGTTGGGTTATTCACACAACACAACTGGCTGGGTCAAAATAACCCAACGTGTGCTCAGTCCAATATTTACCCAGCGCGCAAATAACCCAAATTTGGTTGTTTTTAACCCATCATTTTTTAGAGTGCAGCGATAACAGCATGGTGCTTAGTGTACACTGTTGTTCTGCCACCCGTGCTTACTTGGCATGCATGCTCATCTGCCTGTCGTTGGGCACCCAGGGGTCCGAGCTACCGCCCATCACTGTGTCCGTCATGGCTGCTGCACTATCTCACTCTGCAGGTGGACACACAGACAAAGACGAGACACACACACACACACAGTTAAATGATAAATGCTACATATAAGGAACAATTTTCATCTTGTTCCTCACTGTGTAATCAACAGGGTCACACATTAAATTATTATAAGTTGGATAATTATGATGAATTGTTTATTCAAAATGATGTTATCTCATCTTTATCACAACTCAAATCAATACATCAAATCCATGCAGGAAAGCATACCTAACTGTCAATTGATCAAATTGAAGGTCACATTTAATCTTCCCTGCTTATGCAGCACTGACTACTAATAAAATCAAATCAAATTTTACTGACTTCAGCACTAATATTGATGCCTTCTGTATGCTAAGTATGTGGGCCAAGAGATGCACTGGCCTCAAATTGGCTTGTCATCAGACACACTTACTCTATTTTATGTACATTACAATAACAACAAGGGCTATGAATAAGGATAATATCAACCGTGCCTTTACGTGATCTGTGTAAACCTTTACAGTAACCATCGATAAACCATGTCTCCCAATGTCTAGACAATTCTTACAGTACAACCCATGTTTATGATCCACAGTGATGCAACCACTGAGCAATTTAATCGAATCGAGCAATGTGACAGGAAATGACAGAAATCAATAGGAGTGTAGAGAACTGAACGTACCTGTATGCGCTTAAAGCTTCCGAGGGCCACCACCAGGCAGAGCGGGAAGCGACACCCAACCAGCAACAGGGTGGGTCCTCAGGGAATGAGCAGGGTGGGTGGGGAGGGTCAACAATCCTCTTTCGACAGCAGCCTGGCTCAGATATAGAGGCTCCTCTGTCTAAGGCTGATGATAGCAGGGAACTGAGACGTGTTGTGGCATGATTGGAGAGAGCAGAAAAAGAGGAAGAGTAAAGAAAGTGTGAGGGAAAAAAATCTATAAATCTCATTTGTCTTCAGTTTGCTGTAAGCGATCACTCCACAGTAGCACTGCAGAACATAGCTAGAAGCGAGAGAGAGTGAGCGAAAGAGAGAGAGAGAGAGGGTGAAAGAGAGAAAAATAGAGAGGGGGAGGGGTAATGCTCATCTACAGTATTAACTCCTGTAACACTTACATTTATTCTGATACTGCTTGGTCATTCAAATCACCTGCAGAATGCACAACAAACAATTAGTACTATTATTTATGAACTGATACTGATTTTCATGTGGGAGGATGCCTTTATTGTATTAGCCTGAAACCTGTCACACTACCCTGCTGAAAAAAACAGCATAGACCAGCATAGGCTGTGTTTTGGACACTGGTGACCAGCATACCAGCATGTGTTTTGGACACTGGTCACCAGCATACCAGCATCAAAGTGCTTATTTATTAAATACAGTACATTACCTATGTCATAAGCCCTTACATTAAGAGTTTTTCCCTAATACAGTGGACCCCTCAGGCCTTCAAGTCACATTATGCTGGCTTGCAAAGGTATATTTAATTCCTATTGGAACCCAGCCAGAGTAGGGATATCCAACAATTGGAACTTCTATTCACCTCAAATCAATTCAGAATGACTGCCAGGGTTAGAATTATGAATAAACTGGAACAACCATTTCAGCAACGGGTGCAATAAAGCCAACTAAAAGATTGGATTTGTTTGGAGAAATGTTTGTTATTCATCTTTGTGTAGCATAAGATTAATTAATCAATCAATGTACATGCAAAAACACAACAAACAATTGTAAAAGTTGAACTGCAATAGAGCATGTTGGGAAATATGATAATGATGTGCGGGTTTTGCCAGACCACCTTGACCAGCTTGTTCACCAGCATACCAACATCACCAGCATACCAGCACAAACTGGTCCCCAGCATACCAGCATAAACTGGTCACCAGCCTAACCAGCTTGACCAGCTGGTCAGCCAGCCTAACCAGCTAGACCATGCTGGTCAGACCAGCTTGACCAGCATAGACCAGCAAAGACCAGCATGGAGCAGCTTGAAATTTAGCCTGGTCTATGCTGGTTGATAAAGCAGGGCATACAGAGGTACATCCCCACTGGGCACAGATGTCAGTTCAACGTCTATTTTTGATTTACATTTGGTTAAGTTGTCAACTAAAAATCAACGAAAGATGTCACCATGACATTGGATTTGGGTTAAAAGTTGGATGGAAAAAAAACTAAATTCCCTTACGTTGATGACTTTTTGTAAATCCAATCACATTTCCGTGTTGATACAACATCATCACATTGAATTGTTTTATGAAATGATGTGGTAACAACGTTGATTCAACCAGTTTTTGCCCGGTGGTCTGGCTTCCGTTCAATATTTCCTCCTGTCCAGCTCCCTAAGGGAACAACATAAATGCATAACACTATACATCCCATATGCTGAGTCTCACAACCATGATACACTAAAATTAATCATCCCCCTTTTGTTTAGGATGATTATCCTGTGAAGGCAGATAGAGAGGAGAGGAGGGGGGATCAGAGGTGGAGAGATACTCAGACGTACACCACACGGACCCTGGAGGAGGAGCTCTCACCCAGACAACGTGTTTAACGCTGCAGATAGACACTGTTGCGTCACTGCGGTGAGTGTGCGAGAGAAAACGCCTCCGCTGAATAAGTTTTCCTGTCAGTGCTGGCTGCACTGAGCTCATTAGCAGAGACTTTCAGAAGATTCATTCAGAGAAAGGACACTACATGCTGGTTATGGACCCTTCAACAGCCTTCAACAGTCTTCTCATAGCACTAGGAGGTGAGGGTCTGAATGAGTCTGTCTCAATGAGTATGATGCAGGGTTGGCACTCAGTCTGCGTCATCTCTTCTATGACTCTCATTCAGTGTTGGAGAGTACACCAGCTCATCTTTCATTCATCTTATTCAAGTGATGAGTCATTCAGGTTGTGTATTGTGCCTTGAGTAGCTGGCATTTCTCCTGCATTTTTCTAAATGTGACAGAGACGAAGGTTTGAGAGCCAGCGATCTGCACGGCACAGCACAGCACAGCGGTGCCTGGGGACAGGAGAATGGAGAAACAACCATGCAGAACCATGTGAAGCTGTGCCAGGAAAGCATAATGGAAGAAGGAGGGTGAGATGGGGCAGGATTAAAAGAGGGGATGACATGGAGGAAACTAGAGCACCAACATCGATTCACATCGTCATCTCCTTCATCATTACGATCACTCACCCCCTCAGCAGCATCCGTACTGTACCATTTCATACAGGGGTGGAGAGGACCAATTTAGAAACCTGCGACTCACTCAAGGGCCTAACAGGATAGTCAATACTACTAGTCATTCAGAATACCAGGCACAAGTCCCCTCCAACCCAACCTGTAAGCCACAGTGTTCTTTATTAGCTATAGCATCCTATTGTTCCATTCTTGCTCAATACTTTTTGCCAGACTTATTCAAATTTGACTGTGTTCACTTACATTTAAAGATTTGTCTGGAGACAGTATTATAGCCAAACCCTGTTTCTGCCAATGGTATCTCAGTGATTCATTTGATTAAACCTTTATTTTGACAGGGAGTCAATGCTGAGACCAAGGTCTCTTTTCCAGATGAGCCCTGTATAGCACCACAATACACATTCAAATACAATAAACACATGAAACTACACATTCATATACACAATTAAATACACATTATTATACACAACAATACACGCAAAGCAAAACACAATCATAAAAAACAGACAAATTCTTCAGTTAAAAGGTCCCCTAACAACCATCTGAAATGCCCTAGAGCCACCAATTCCTCTAATTTTAAAGTGTATTGTAGATCATTCTACACGTAAGGTACAAGGGAATTAAAAGCTGATTTATCTAACTCTCTAGACACCGAAGGAGTCTCCAGAGTTAACCAACCCTGTGAACAGGTTTGATAACTTGTCATTTAAAATCTTAACAGTGATGATGTTGGGTAATTCTGAAGTTTTGTAAACAAAAAGAGCATAATGATGTGATCTACATGACTTCAAAGAGGTCCAGCCAACCTTTTGGTAAAAAATCCTGTGATAAAACGAAGGGTGCTATGAAAAACGGCATCCAATGGTTTAGGAGTAGAGGCAGCTGCACTTTGATAAATAGTATCACCATAATCAAGAACAGGTAGAAAGGTTGACTGCACAATATGCTTCCTGCTGACTAGAGAGAGACAATATCTGTTTCTGTAAAAAAAAAATCCCACTTTAAATCTTACTTCTGTCTAGATGTTAAACTACCTAAGGTCACCTACAGGTGTACCTGTTCTTAATGATAATACAGAAAAAAAACATAGAAAACCAGAATATAAAAGTATGGTGACAGAGAGCGGGATCATTTCTGGTTCCCTTGATGTTCCTACACTGAATTACTTGAACACATGGACTTTTTTTTAATGTTTATGTTTTTTTATTAGTAAAAAAAAAAGATTTTCAAACACTAACTCAGCAAAAAGCAAGAAATGTCCCTTTTTCAGGACCCTGTCTTTCAAAGATAATTCGTAAAAATCAAAATAACTGTTTCCCATGCTTGTTCAATGAACCATAAACAATTAATGAACATGCACCTGTGGAACGGTCGTTAAGACACTAACAGCTTACAGACGGTAGGCAATTAAGGTCACAGTTATGAAAACTTAGGACACTAAAGAGGCCTTTCTACTGACTCTGAAAAACACCAAAAGAAAGATGCCCAGGTCCCTGCTCATCTGCGTGAACGTGCCTTAGGCATGCTGCAAGGAGGCATGAGGACTGCAGATGTGGCCAGGGCAATAAATTGCAATGTCCGTACTGTGAGACGCCTAAGACAGCGCTACAGGGAGACAGGACGGACAGCTGATCGTCCTCGCGGTGGCAGACCACGTGTAACAACACCTGTACAGGATCGGTACATTCGAACATCACACCTGCGGGACAGGTACAGGATGGCAACAACAACTGCCCGAGTTACACCAGGAACGCACAATCCCTCCATCAGTGCTTGGACTGTCCGCAATAGGCTGGGAGAGGCTGGACTGAGGGCTTGTAGGCCTGTTGTAAGGCATGTCCTCACCAGACATCACCGGCAGCAACGTCGCCTATGGGCACAAACCTACCGTCGCTGGACCAGACAGGACTGGCAAAAAGTGCTCTTCACTGACGAGTCGCGGTTTTGTCTCACCAGGGGTGATGGTCGGATTCACATTCATCATCGAAGGAATGAGCGTTACACAGAGGCCTGTACTCTGGAGCGGGATCGATTTGGAGGTCAAGGGTCCGTCATGGTCTGAGGCGGTGTGTCACAGCATCATCGGACTGAGCTTGTTGTCATTGCAGGCAATCTCAACACTGTGCGTTACAGGGAAGACATCCTCCTCCCTCATGTGGTACCCTTCCTGCAGGCTCATCCTGACATGACCCTCCAGCATGACAATGCCACCAGCCATACTGCTCGTTCTGTGCGTGATTTCGTGCAAGACAGGAATGTCAGTGTTCTGCCATGGCCAGCAAAGAGCCCGGATCTCAATCCCATTGAGGGACCTGTTGGATCGGAGGGTGAGGGCTAGGGCCATTCCCCCCAGAAATGTCCGGGAATTTGCAGGTGCCTTGGTGGAAGAGTGGGGTAACATCTCACAGCAAGAACTGGCAAATCTGGTGCTTAATGCAGCTGGTGCCCACACCAGATACTGACTGTTACTTTTGATTTTGACCCCCCCTTTGATCAGGGACACATTATTCAATTTCTGTTAGTCACATGTCTGTGGAACTTGTTCAGTTTATGTCTCAGTTGTTGAATTTTGTTATGTTCATACAAATATTTACACGTTAAGTTTGCTGAAAATAAACGCAGTTGACAGTGAGTTGACAGTTTCTTTTTTTGCTGAATTTAGGTACATAATTACTAACTTGCTCCCATTGTAGTATGACTTGGACACTGACTATAAAACCTGTTTGATCTTTAAAAACTGGGGAGGGTGAGAGGCTTTTGGAGACACCTCATACAGTACCCTTCCTGAAGCTCTGACTGCAATGGACACACCACTCTACCAAGACTCTCTCTCTCTCTCTCTCGCTCTCTTGCTCTCTCTCTCCCCTCTCCTCCGAGATGTGAAATACATTTCCTAAGTGGGTTAATGAGATTCTGAGATCAGTGCAAACTCCCACAATTGGTTTCACTTTAATTAATCATTCATCAGGGCAGCATTCCCATTGTGACTCCCAGAATTTAAACTTAGGGGTGGAGCTCGACTCAAAGCCTCGGTCCGGCTTCAGGAAACTGCTGCTGCAGCCACCACCCACCACCCACCTACATCGCTCGCCATTGGCTGAGGGCTGATGTGACAAATGAGGGCTGTACTGTTGAGCTTCAACACCCAATTCCAGATTTTGATGGCAAATTGATGCTATAATCACTATTCTATTCAAGGGGCTTTTTCTCCACCAAGACTAAAACTACACAGAGTTGTCAAAACATTAGGAACACCTTCCGAATATTGAGTCACAACCTCTTTTGCCCTGAGAACAGCCTCAATTCGTCAGGGCATGGACTCTTCAAGGTGTCAAAAGCATTCCACAGGGATGCTGGCCCATGTTGACTCCAATGCTTCCCACAGTTGTGTCAAGTTGGCTGGATGTCCTTTGGGTGGTGGACCATTCTTGATACACACGGGAAACTGTTGTGTGTGAAAAACCCAGCAGCGTTGCAGTTCATGACACACTCAAGCTGGTGCACCAAGCACCTACTACCATACCCCATTCAAAAGGCACATAAAACTGTTGTCTTGCCCATTCACCCTCTGAATCCTCCCATTCATCTACACTGATTGAAGTGGATTTAACATGGATTTAACTTCATTTTGGAATAAATTAAGTGACATCAATAAGGGATCATAGCTTTCACCTGGATTCACCTGGTCAGTCTATGTCATGGAAAGAGCAGATGTTCCTAATGTTTTGGACACTCAGTGTATAACCAACCATAACTGAACATGACAAAAATATCAGTGTGAGAGGCTCAAAAGCACATTTTTCCACATTAAATATTTCATTTTTGCCATTAAGTTACTTTATGCTAAGAAAGGACCATGCCCTCAGAGTTTTCAGTAAGTCTACCTCAGAACCAGCTGCTGAAGGGGCTTGTGCCTCTGCTCTGCCTCTGGCTGGATCGATGCACTGTCTGTCAACCACACCCTCCTGATGCTGAGCTGAGCTGTAAAACCTGGAAATACTGTTAGCAGAGGACCAGCAACACCACAATCGCCCTGGCATTTATATTACCATCAACGACTCCCCCAACTTCACATCTAACAAAATCCACTATAATCATCCTGATTGGTTGGCACAGGATGCTATCCTGTAAAGACCACTTATGTGTAGCAGTGCTGACAAGTCCCCCAAGCCTACCCCTTATTAAACCCTTTTCCCACTATCGAACAGAGCCATAACATACTGCATGTAACAGTGGCCAGGGTAGGAAGGTTTTATTGGGGTGGTTACAGAAATACGCTTTCAGCACAGTCGGAATGATCGATGACACAGCCAGCACTTTCAGTATTTAAAAAAGCACAAGCTTTTGGGTCTGTTGGCAGTAGTGAGAGGCTACCCACTGGGCACAGACGTCAGTTCAACGTCTAGTTTTGATTTACATTCAGTTGAGTTGTCAACTAACATGAATTCAATGTGAAATCAACAAAAAATGACATTGGATTTAGGTTAAAAGTTGGGTGAAGAAAATACGAAATGCCCTTACGTTGATTAATTTTTGCAAATCCAATCAGTTTTCCACGTTGATTCAACATCATCACATAGATGTTTTTGGTGGACATGACGTGGAAATGACGTTGATTCAACCAGTTCTTGCCCAGTGGATAGGTAGTGGGTTCATGGACCAGACCCTTCATCCTAACTGATCTGTGTGGGGAGGTGGGAGGTGGGGTGTGCACTGGTGGAGAGTGGAAGATGGTGTCAGGTCAAGAAGCGCAGAGAGACCTGGCTAGAATACAGCCCTTCCAATCCTTGTCTTGTTTGCCCTCACACACTTTGTACATAAAGACACATAGATACTCTGTGCACCAGTGGCAGTCGGTGCCGTTTAAAATGAGGGAAGATCATTGTTTTTTCATGAGCATGGCCTTATTTCTATTACAGCATATTGGATGACTGTCATTCATATTCCATTCACCCAGTTCAATGTAACAGCAATAGGTTTAGGCTACTACATGATACTCAAATTTTCCCTGTACCCATCATGAGGTTGCTACAACCTAGCCTATGAATGAAAGTTTACAACGTAGGTGCACATAGGTCGAGAGAAGAATTTGAAGCGACAGACAGTGACACATTCAATACCGCCTTGCACACTCTTGCCTGCATCTATCTGATCTAGGGTGTAATCAGTAGTCCAACAGTTGCAAACAAGAGTTTCTATTGGACAAATTCAGGTATGTTTATCCCCGTTTCGTTCCGTTTGCTTCCATTTAAGAAATGTTTTTCAACAGAATCGGCGGAATGAATACACCCCTGATCGTGCGTAAACACAGTTCACTTTCATTTACATTTACATTTAAGTCATTTAGCAGACGCTCTTATCCAGAGCGACTTACAGTTAGTGAATACATATATTTTTTTTTTTCATACTGGTCCCCCGTGGGAATTGAACCCACAACCCTGGCGTTGCAAACGCCATGCTCTATCAACTGAGCTACATCCCTGCCGGCCATTCCCTCCCCTACCCTGGACAACGCTAGGCCAATTGTGCGCTGCCCATGAGTCTCCCGGTCGCGGCCGGCTGCGATAGAGCCTGGATTCGAACCAGGATCTCTAGTGGTACAGCTAGCACTGCGATGCAGTGCCTTAGACCACTGCGCCACTCGGGAGACACTAGCAGTCACGTTGTATTCCTTCTCGCATCTATGCACTCTCCTCCTCTCACCTTTTCCCTTCGCTTGTGGACTTCAATACACAACACATCAGCTGTATGTGGCCAGGTGAAAAAACCTATCCAAGCCAAACCATATCATAACCGCTACAGACAGCCTACATCATTGTCACCATATTAGCTAAAGTAATGTCATTGTCAACAGCTAATAAAACTAAGGCGTTAGTAAACCCGCTATATTTCATGCAGTGACGTTACAGTGTACAGTAGGCAGTTTAGCACTTACACCGGCAGGCCCAGGTGGCAATACATTTGTAAAATCAAAAGCTTACCTTGACTTGGAAGAGTTCCAGTGTTGTGTTGGATAGTCATAGCCAGCTATCTAACATAGCATCCCTCTGTTTGAGCAGGGTATTTGAGTAGGTTAAACTAGCTAGCTGCATTTGCTAGCTAAGTAATGAAACTGAAAGTGAAAAAAAATGACAATCTCTCATCACAAAACCAACTGATATTGCCAACTACTTTAATTATTTTTTCATTGGCAAGATTAGCAAACTTAGGCATGACATGCCAGAAACAAACGCTGACACTACACATCCAAGTATATCTGACCAAATTATGAATGACAAGCATTGTAATTTTGAATTCCGTAAAGTGAGTGTGGAAGAGGTGAAAAAATGATTGTTGTCTATCAACAATGACAAACCACCGGGGTCTGACAACTTGGATGGAAAACTACTGAGGATAATAGCAGACGATATTGCCACTCTTATTTGCCACTACCTAAGAATAATAAAGCCCCCTTTACTGGCTCAAATAGCCGACCAATTAGCCTGTTACCAACCCTTAGTAAACTATTGGAAAAAATTGTGTTTGACCAGATACAATGCTATTTTACAGTAAACAAATTGACAACAAACTTTCAGCATGCTTATAGGGAAGGACATTCAACAGCACATCACTTACACAAATGACTGATGATTGGCTTAGAGAAATTGAGGAAAAAAAGATTGTGGGGACTGTTTTGTTAGACTTCAGTGAGGCTTTTGACATAATTGATCATAGTCTGCTGCTGGAAAAACTTTATACAACTAAAAGCATTGTATTTGGGACAAATCATTCACTAAACCCTAAACCTCAACTAAATCTTGTAATAAATAATGTGGAAATTGTTGAGATGACTAAACTGCTTGGAGTAACCCTGGATTGTAAACTGTCATGGTCAAAACATATTGATACAATAGTAGCTAAAATGGGGAGAAGTATGTCCATAATAAAGTGCTGCTCTACCTTCTTAACAGCACTATCAACAAGGCAGGTTCTACAGGCCCTAGTTTTGTCACACCTGGACTACTGTTCAGTCGTGTGGTCAGGTGCCACAAAAAAGGACTTAGGAAAATTGCAATTGGCTCAGAACAGGGCAGCACGGCTGGCCCTTGGATGTACACTCAAAGTGGAGGAGAGATTGACTTCATCACTACTTGTATTTGTGAGAGGTATTGACATGTTGAATGCACCAAGCTATCTGTTTGAACTCCTGGCGCACAGCTCGGATACCCACGCATGCCACAAGAGGTCTCTTCACAGCCCAAGTCCAGAACAGACTATGGGAGGCGCACAGCACTACATAGAGCCATGACTACATGGAACTCTATTCCACATCAAGTAACTGATGCAAGCAGTAAAATTAGATTTAAAAAACAGATACAAATACACTTTATAGAACATCGGGGACTGTGAAGCAACACAAACATAGGCACAGACACATGCATACACACACACAATAGCATACGCACCATACACACACGTACACATGGATTTTGTACTGTAGATATGTGGTAGTGGTGGAGTAGGGGCCTGAGGGCACACAGTGTGTTGTGAAATCTGTGAATGTATTGTAATGTTTTTAAAATTGTATGAACTGCCTTAATTTTGCTGGACCCCAGGAAGAGTAGCTGCTGCCTTGGCAGTAGCTAATGGGGATCCATAATAAATACAAATACAAATGCAAATTCAAATACAAATCTCTCTCTTGCTTCTCCTTCATTTTGGAATAAATTAATTTGTTCAAAACTGTTCAACTATTGTCTTTCTTTCTCTTTGAGTCAACTACTCACCACATTTTATGCACTGCAGTGCTAGATAGCTGTAGCTTATGCTTTCAGTACTAGATTCATTCTCTGATCCTTTGATTGGGTGGACAACATGTCAGTTCATGCTGCAAGAGCTCTGATAGGTTGGAGGATGTCCTCCGGAAGTTGTCATAATTACTGTGTAAGTCTATGGAAAGGGGTGAGAACCATTTTAAAATGTTAATAATATTTTCTCCAAACGATTTGAGGGAGTGCACACATGCGGCTATTCTGTGTTGAGCGGTTAACAAAGAAATAGGAACTCCTATATGCTTAATTTAGAGTTATTCATGTAACTTTAGTTATTCTACAAACGTTGGGCTATATCTTTTGATTTGTAATACATTCTAAGGCTGCATGATGAGATGATGGTTTGAAAAAAGTTGCATGAAAAGCATGAGCTCTGCTTTGTTTTTTGCGCATGCTGTACACACTTCATCAGTCTCTCATTCACAATAATGCCTCAAATTTTCCGGCAGCATCCCCCTTGTGTGGCCGTAATGCCCCCTAAAAAAATCCAAGCCTTTACCAGCCAAGGCCGTTGTGCCCTTGGGCTAAATATAATAATTATATTTCCCTTCTCCCTGAGAGCTGCATGCTCCGAAGCACCTCTCACTCACATGGCTCTCCATCACGTGATTGGGTCTTTCTCACAGGCTACAAGTGAAGACAGACACATCCCGGACCCAACTGCGCACGTCCTTATCCAATTCCGAGGTGTATATTGAAGATATTGGAAGAATTGTCAACATTTACTTTTCGTCAGCCAACAAGATGCGTAGGCCTAACGAACAGCAAAAGCACTAGCCTATGTCAATCTACTATCCCCCATAGTACAAAAGTTGACCTATTCTATTCTGTGCGAGAAATAAATATTCCAAACATAGTCTGAGACAGTTGTGGGATGTGATAGATCCCAAATTAATACAACCACTTGCATCCCCAAAAGTTTTTTATGCAATGAGGCTCAGACACAGATCAGAACGTTTAGCTTAAAATGTTGATAAACTATTAGGCTATTTCTTCACATTATAAGCGCAGCAATGCACACACGGCAGTAGGCTATAAGTACAAATGTTCCATTAGCGGGAAAACACCGTTATCAAAAGTGACCGCAAATGTGATTATGCATGTAATGCTTTTATTCTAAAGGTGCATTTTATGGTTAAAATGATCTTCCCCAAACTTGAAATTCACGCGCTGCTTATGTATGCCAGTTAGGCTCTACACCCCTTGTATAGCGGATTAATGTGCTTAATTTTAAGAAGTTA